ATCATCAACCTGCATGCCAGTTTTAGGACATGTCATCTCATTGGTGTGCAGGTCTCTGAGTTTACAATGGTAATGAAGTAGGGTAATAAATTGTGGAAGTAGCAGCCTAACGGTGGCCTTGCACTCTTAGTATATGCCACTTGTCTCATTGGAAGGTGATACTATGTCAAGACAACTAATAATGGAGCAGGAGCAATGAATTAAGAAGTGTCCACCTAAGAGTGTTGTGTCGATTTATAGATATATGGAACACTGAAAATAACTAAGGATATCTAAAAACCTCTGACAGGACTGCAGAGCCATAATTGCATTGCACTTAGCTGGATACTATAACTTATAGCAATAATACCAGGAGCACCGTAAGTGTGCGCTTTTATGCTTCAGGTTGATCCCAAAGATGTGTTACATTATTGGCCATGAATCCTATTTCTGATTCTCTAGACTGAGTTAACGGGGTTGTAATATATATGATCTTTTGTTATTGCAAGGGATGAGGTAACTGGTCTAAATTGATGTTGATGTAATCATCAGGTCGATTCAAATCATCTAGCCAAGCTTGTCAAATTGTGTGGTGTATGTATGGAACGCGTGCATGCGTGCTAATTGTAAAATTTAAAAATGATGATATGTTATTCATTGGCCGTAAAAATATTAGATCATTATTTTTGAATCATTTTGCTTGATTCGAACTAAGAATTATGCCTTCTAATTTGGTATTCTCGAATTCTTGCATGAACTAGTCATGATCATTCTCAGGAAATGCTTGGTCGTGTTGCATTGATATTAGAAATGGTGAGGGAACATGGAGAGTAATGAAATCATATATGTGCAATGTAGGATGTACCTAAGTATCTTAAAACTTATGATACCACAAGCCACAATGATAATGTAGTTTTGAGAAACTTAGTGTGAAGAAACCATTGTTCTAGAGACATACAAAACTACGCTTTAGAAAAAAGTGATATAGAGTGGGAGTTATAGCAATACAATGGTTGTCTAACCACCTTATAGTTTTCCAAACAAAAGTATATTACAAAACCACATGGGAAATTTTCTAAAAAAATAAAAACACTTTGCAGCCAAAGATGGTCTACAAACATTAGCGTATAGTGTCAAAGAGACCTTTATTACCAATAATCGCCTCAAGAGTCATTGGATATCATATATATATATATATATATATATATAGTAACTTTGCCACATGAACAATTTTGTTAGTTTATATGTAGTAAAAATTGCATGCGCACCTAGCTTGGCCAAATGGCCTTATTTGTATCAGCACTTATCAAGGTTTTACACCATAATAGAGCTAGATTTTTTTAGCCAATGATTTGTTTAAGTCTTGTTATTGCTTATTATGGTATGTGTTGGTTGAGGTTTATAGCCTGAGATAGGGTTGCACTGCAGCCTTTCTCTAGCTAAAATTTAAGTCTAGTAATTGTGTATTAGCTTAGTATTCAAAGCTTTAGTTTAGAATTAGGTGGTAAATGATGAAAAAAATTCTACTAACGAGCACCGCGGTAAAATTTATTTCAAACAAGTAAGCTGTTTGGATCTAGGCGAGCTAGACTATTAAAGAAAAGGAAATGCACAAGCCACACGCCCACGCACCACATCACCATACTTGGGACTTTGGGAGGTTAGAACCAAAGAGATAACACAGAAGTGAGACCGGCCGTGCGAGGCAGGCTGAAATAGCCAATATACATCCATGCCATCCCTCCAACCCAAACAAATTGTCATGAAAACCCTGCAGCAACAAGAGCAGCAACCGGCGAACGCTGCGATGTCCCAGGGAACAGCCACCTCGCTCCAGCCACCAGCGCTCGAGAGCTTCACGGCGTATGAGATCGCCATGGCGGAGGTCCTCGCGGGACTGAGCGAGAGCATCACATCCATGGGCGAGCGCGGCGCGTGGTCTGAGGCCTCCGTCGCCTTGGGATCCTCATCCCCACGTTCGGTGAATGCCCAGCCCCCTGCGCGTGAGCTGGTCTTGCCCCGCAACCCCGATGCCGGTGGCGATGGAGATGAGGAAGAGGATAAGCAAGAGGTGTCAAGAAGCCAGAGGAAGCCAAAGCACTACCGCTCGATCGCCGAGATCTACTGCGCAACTGATCGATTCGTGAGGTACAATCCCAGGAACAAGAAGGAATAAACGAGGTAGAGTGGGGAGGAGAGAGGAGAGGTGCTTGCTTGTAATTACCCCTTATCCCTAGGGGGTAGATTGGAGTTTGCACAGTTTGTGCTTGTTCTTGCAGTCCTCTCTAACTAGAAGCAGAGTCATACTCTGGATCCTGGTAAGGTGTAGAAACTTTCCCTTTGCAATAGACCAATGGGATTGCTTTCTTTTGTTTTAGTAATTGCTTTCTTAATATATTAATATATAGGTTGTAGTAGTTCTTGTGTTGCTGGACCTGATCATTCTTAGTTATGATGCTCTAGGTTCGGAATCAGGGTCTTATTGATGTTTCGTGCCTCTATGAGATGTGAGTGATGATCTATGTGGGTATTATATTACTAACTGATTACTTGCTCCATGGATGATCAGACCAAGTTTGGGTTCGTGTCGAAGCGGTGCGCATATCATTAGTTACCTATTCCATTGTGCACGTGGAAGTGTTCATTGATCAGGGGAGGGGTGGGGTAGTGGATTAGATCAACATTGTGGCTTTGTTTTCCATGACTCATGCTAGGAACTGTGCTTCACTAGTCAGATTTCTAGCAAGCACGGATAGATTCGTCTTGATTTTAAGAAATTGTTGTTGCCATACATGTTAATCAGAAATGGTCATAGACAGATATAGTATTTTCCATGTGCACAGATTTTTTGGTGGTTGTAGTAGAACCTAACCATCACAGTTAGTTTTTGCACCTTTGATGGTTTTTTCCTTTATAAGCATTTGTAGGGGTTCAATTTTCATTTTGATTTAATTTAGGCAACCAATTTACTTTGGTTCTCATGTCTTTTTATTCACCATAATTGGGACGAGATCGAGGAGGGTGTGTTGATTTGAAACTATACTGAAGTATAGTTGGTGAACAATTCTAGAGAGTTTAGATGCTTCACGCACATACTAGTGAAGATGGATAAGATGTCCATTATATTTTCATGTACTTGCTGTGATGAAATGTTGTATATTGACGCTATCCTATCATCTTCTCTCATCATAGGATTGAGATAATTGATTTGTTTCTAAACTCTGAAGAACAATGGGTTGGTAAAACTAATTTAGTTATATGTTTATTATAAAAATGTTGAAATTGGAATATGAAGCTTCATATGTAAAAACACCTTGGCTCACACATGTTATCACTGCCGCGGTGCATATGTAATGCACTGTAGGCATGTAGTTTTGTTGTTGTTGTTGTAAACATGCTAAATAGCTATCGAAGATCAGAAGAGATATTAGTTTTGTGATATTGCGGCAGTGATATGCTAGGTCCATACAATGTTCAGAGAAAGCAGCTATCTTTGTGGTTGTAATATACTCCTACCTTGATAAGGTGAGTATCTTGGTTTTAAATGTGTGCCTAAATAGATGTAAATAGAGACCAAGAGATAACAAATAGGAACTAAACTCATGAGAGGCCAAACAAGGTCCTCTACGTAGTTTTGGGATTAATCAACAAACTGAAGCATAAATGGTAACAAATAAGAGTTATAATGTTTTGTGCGTACACCTAGTGAAGAACAAGATGATCATTATAGTTTCATGCAGCTACACTGATGAAAGGTTGTAGCCTATCGTCTTCTCATCATGTGATTGAGCATATTGATTTCTTTCTGGTGCACTTTAACTATTCTGGTCTATGTGTTATGTTTTTATTTCAGAACTCTGATTAATTATAACACATCTTTTATAAAGCTAGCAAAACACGGCCTTAACAATTTAACTAAGAATGACTTCTATTTATAAAAAAAGTGCTGAATTATTTGCCTGGCCAGTATGGTAGAGTGGACAAGTCTATATGGATGGATCCCTCTGCATTAAGCAAAGCATTGAGCAGCTGAGCGTCCTGTCGGCACAACGGGAGCAGTGGCAGTCTGACACTGCGAAACTGACGCAGTATGTGACCACCCACAAATTACCTGGCCACAACCCACAATTGTCATGAGTGAGGGGTCACCTTACTACGCCCCTGTGTTTATGATTTGTGAACGGCAAAGGCCGGCCTGATCTTGAACAAAAACATTGTGCTGTGGAAGTGTGGTTTTCTTCTCGTTGCCTGGGCATGCAACAGTTGTCAGTTGACTGACTGATCAGACATTCAGACGAGGATCAAGTCAAGTCTAACCCAAACTAACCGAACTCTTTTAGCATCAGAGAAAATAGCGGCCCGTGGTCTGTTGGTCCTAGATTATAGAAGGTTCTACTTGCATGGAAATTCCTGTTGGCTCTATCTACCTGATGAAAAGCCTCCATACCAAATATCGAACTGCACTCTGTACACGCGTATGCAGAGAAACTCGGCAGAACTCATTCTAGCAAGCCATTCAATGAACTTGCACTGAAACTTTACCCGTAGCGGCCCATGCTCCCAAAAGAGCTTTGAGGCCCTGTTTGGGTCTCTTGAGAAAAATGAAAATAAGATAAGAAAATTAAAAATGAGATTGACACACTTGTATTTTAGATCTCACTTTATAATCCAACTATCTACTCAAACCCTGATATTTAAAAATTCTCACTATGCAAAGAATAATTCCGAATCTAAACACCTCTTTACTTCTGCTAGCTAAGACTAGTAGACAGGTTGTGAGTTGTGACTGCAAGAGGCAGACCATGCAAAGTAACAACACATGATGGGTCACAGGTCAGGTGCACTGAACAAGAAAAGGCACAATCTTTGAATGAATGAACCACTATCTTTCTTTGTTCAGCAATCAGTATCAAACTAGCGTCTCGTTCACCATACAAGCAGTACACAGTGGGGAGTAATTCTGTCAAACAGGGAGAACAAATATGTTTGATTACAGGAAGTCTGACAAAAGTGGCATTCGATCAACTGGTTGTCCCTGAACCAAAGGATTTCACGATGGTGCTTACTCTTGCACCAAAGCTTCTTGAAGCGATCTTCTTCCCCGGGACATGGAACGGGTTTGAGACGGCATCTACATATGCAGCATGGAACTTCCTGAAAAACTGAGTAAACAGAGATGAACATGAGCTGGTATTCTTTTCCACACATAGAAGATCAAGCATGAGCATCAAACCTCATGTAAAATAAAAATGGTTACACAATTTTGTTTCAGTGCATTCTTAGAAAGAAGAAACAGTTCGTCTAGAACTTCTCAGGGAACACTTGATTTACATTGCTAGACTGAGAAACTGAACAGCTGTGATTAATGCAAAATATCTCTGTACTACCCAATGAAATCTATATCTATCTATAAATCTATATCTATATCTATATATCTATATCTAAATATCTATATTTTCTATATTTCTATATATCTTATAATCCTAAACCCCACTAGCCATTCTATCTCGACATGCAAGCAGTCCACCTCAGCAATCCACTATCACATGCATTTAATCGTTTTCTTTAGTATGCCACGCCATCCACTACCATTAGTTTATAAGTTTATTCTTTCATATAAGTAATTTAGTTTGATGTCATTTTAATTCATCCGCAATTCTCGCAGCAACATGTGGGGTATGCTTCTAGTATAATATATGTTGTATACATGTTTGATACATATATAAACATGTTTCATTAAAAAATGGTACAGTTAAACCACTGAGGAGCTTACATTTCGGGCATCTGCATCTTTGACATCAAGATCAGTCGTGACCATGATAAACTTGACCTTTGTGTTTGTCAAATAGCCGTACCTGCACACAATATATCATAATAATTAATCAATTTCCTAGCAATTGGCAGCCAGATCAAGAATGTCAGTGCTATCAGCAGGAATATTTAGTTGGCGACATGGGAGCACATTAGTTGATAGTCATTATTTTAACTTCTTTGTGAATAATCCAAGTACAAGAATTTCTGAAAATAGAAACAATAGATTTTTTAAACTTCAGCAACTAATGGAGGCAGATGACATCAGGCAAATTAAGCAGATAACTAAAACCTGGAATAAACTTACACTTTGTAGTTCTCAGTTGGGTACAGAAGACCCAAAAATGTCTCGTTCAACGTAGGCGCACTCCTTTTAGGATTGTTCACTGTCAACAGAATGAATGTCGAGGCAAATAAGAAAACAACAGAATGTATCTCAAACAAAAAAAAAACGATAGCCGAACAGGACTGAGAAAAAGGAGATTGATATTTCTATACGCCAAGGAATCACTGAGTTAAAACTAGTCTGATAAGATGGAATCAACCATTGCATTTGTCCATTATAATCATCTAGAACCACTAAGCTTCTATGCATATCCAAGTCCTCACAAAGCAGGTCTACAAAATGGTAAGTGCATGCTTTTGTCTGCATATGCCACATGATTTGAGTTTGCCCCCCTTTTGTACAAGTTGGATCGATTGTCAGGTTCTAATGCTCACTCCAGTAACTAAGGACCTGTTTGGTTCCGCCTGGCAGACAAATGGCAGGCCCTAAATAACTGGAAGAGTAGATTTTGATTCTTCTAACCTGAAACTGGTGATGTCGCTTCTAATTTCAGTTTTGAATTAGTAACTCCAGAGCAACAAGCACGCAATTTAACGAACATTATCTCCTCCACAGCTGATTACAATCTACAGCATGCAACAAACACACGCACAATTTGAACAGATAGAAACTAACTAGAACTCCCAGCTATCCACAGCCCGCTAAAAACAAGGCCATCTAGATCTGGATCACGATGCCTCGGCGGGGGGCGCACGCGGGTGAGAGACGCTTAGCTACCTCGCTCGTCGATGACGTCGAGGGAGCAGTGGACGATGTGGTGGAGCTTGAGGGCGTCGTCCGCCTCCGTGAAGCTCTGCAGATACAGCGGATTGTTCTGCAGCACCGACGGAAACGCAAAGGCGAAGTTCTTAGTCGATGATTTCAGCAGCGCCCAGGACGAGATCGCATCAGGCCAGATCTGCACGATCGGACGCGAGGGTCGAGTGGGGCGGTGAGGGTCCTGACCTGGTGGCCGACGACGGCGACGCAGACGATCATGATTCCTCCGGGAAGAGGACTCGAGCCAGTCGCCGGAGAGGAACGGAGGAAGCGGCTGCCAGCCGGTTGCCGGTAGCGAGACCTCCGGTCCCGGGGACTCCTCTCAGGCCGCGAAGTAACCTCTGGGCTCTGGCTGGGCTCCCGGCACGCTCGTGTGGGCGAATGGGCTATGACGGCAAGAGGCACCATATGCCAAAGGACCGATCGGACGGTCAGGAGAGCCCTTACTCAGCGCACGAATCTTGATTCATACCCCCACCGAAAAAGGACTTCACGCGTGAATAATCCAACGTCTGAAGGATAACGCCGCTCGTCTTGTGAACATTTCTAAATTCATTCAGAAGTGAGAATAGTACATAGATTTCACACACAAGATAAACAGGATGCAAGTTCAGACAAACAGGCAAAGTCACATAAAGTGTGTAGACGTAGCTCTTGTGTCAATCGCAGTGCTTATTTTCCTCAACCATTGTGTTCATGTTGCAAAATCAGCATGGAGCTCTGCCATGAGTTCACAGAATAACTGATGAATATGGGGGAGTTCCACATGAGACTTTGCTCCAGGGCTTTCATCCGTGACCACAAATAACAAGTAGTGCCAAACGGCAATAAGAGTACTTTACAGAATTTTCGGTCTTCAACCCAAAGCAGGATTTCCTGGAAGATGGATCCTGGATGTGGATGCACCTATCTCCCAGAGCTGTTGTGATGAAAAAGAACACCTGAATATCATGTACAGAAGTGAGGTTAGTATTGTAAAGAGCTTTCTCTGTCCTGTGGACATTTGTATTCAAGATGAATTTTCATATCAAAGAAATTGAAGCTGTAATTTAATGATTAACATGACATGGGAAAATGATTATAGTTCTGTATCTGCTACTGCACTTGATAAGATATGCTAAGCAGCATGTTTATTGACCAAAATATAGAGATCATATATATATGCATAGTATTATCATTTAAGTATGCCCAAAAAATTAATAGGGCAATAAAATTCATTGTTCAATTTTCTGCACACATAGTTTTCACAACAAGTATCACTCTTAAATAGTATATTGTACGGTAATAGCAGCAACCCTTATGTCCCACTAGAAAACTAAGTTGTTGTATAGCAACAAGATTACAAGAAAGCTCAAATGACGACATGGATAAACAAGTTACAGTCACTTGGCCAATACAGGTGTTCAAAACTTGTTAACCCCACAACTTTAGCACATTGGTCACTGGTCACACTTTGTGAAAAACTGATTTAGCCTCTGCATACATAGAAGGGACAAAATTGGCTAGTAGAATGGTTTGTGAAAAAAAGGATATCAACTAAATAGTTCCGAGATACTAAAAGTAAAATGGAAAAAGAAACAACATCTAGACATATGGAGCACACTGCTATCACCCAAAAATAATTGCAACTGGAATAAACTCAAAGCTGGTGAATTTCAAGGGACTACAAATGAATGAATGATATGATTGCTAAAAGACCAAAACAACTGATTTTTCCTCTCCAATTTCATGATTCTCAGAGCGAATCAAACTTCACATCCTACTTCACATCTCATACATGATACACTGCAAAATTACAATGTCACACCATTTATTCAACAAAACTTATCACAAATTATAAACAGACCCACATCATCCTACAGCAGATTGAAGTTGAAGGTTGCAACAAAGTTTGACTCTGATCCTAAAATTGCAGAGGGCAATCCGAAGCGGTGGACGGACTCACAAATCAGCTCTTGATGAGCCTCCAGCGGCTGAGGGCCCGGCGACGGGCGGCGTGAGCGCGATGGTGATGGGGACCCTCACGGGGAACAGTGCCTTGTTGCAGAGGAGCGCGAGCCCGAGCGCGCCGCCACTCGACGCCACGAGCTCCATCGTCCTGTTGCGGGGCTGCCGATCCCGCTCCATCTCTTCTTGCAGGACCTCGCTGGGGCTGGGCGGCAGGGGGGCGTCGCGGGAGGCAGGGGCGGGTGAGGCCTCGCTGTCAACGGTGACGCCGGGGGAGATGCCGAACCTCCGGAAGACGGCTTCGACGTCGACGTTGTTGTTGATGGCGACGTAGAGGCCGGCGATGGAGGCGCAGGAGACGGATAGGTGGACGCCCACGGCCACCTTGCCGTACTTCCTCACGAGCTCCTTGATCCTGCCGGAGAACGCCATGGCCGCCGGCGAGCTGGAGGTTTATGATTCGGGGGCGGCGCTGTGACGGCTAGGGTTTTGGTCTTTTGCGGCGGGTTCGGTTGCGGGCTCACGGCTGAAGCGAAGGCGCAGGATGGATCCGCGTCGCGGCTACCCGCTAGCGGCCCACGTTCCTTGCTTGGAAAATTAGGCAACCGGTCCACGCCTCCACGGCAGTCGGCACAGAATTATGCTCCTATACTCCGACTCCATTTCCACTTTACTACTTTAGTGCATGCATAGTAGTAGTAGTACCTTTGCAATCAAATTTGTGTATTACTAGAAAACTCGTCGCGGCTTTGCCGCGCCCTCTTTGAGTTCGCCAGCCTAGATTTTTTTTTTCATTTGATCAATTAACTGGTGGGCGTTATGGAGCTGCTACCCTGCAACAGTGCCACTGCAACCTTCTCACATCTCAATGTCAAACCTCGAATACGTACTGTAACTATGGGGAGATGGAATGAAATCAAATAAATAGCTTTGGTATACTTGACATGCAATTAGCGGAGTGCCGGAGTTTACATGTACTTTCATATTAATAAGTAGTAGTAAAGAAAGTACATGCTATTTCACTCCTGTAAGAACCTTCATATTTCTTAGTAGCATTATAGTATCTGTCAAGCTAGAAGGGTACATCAAAACTAATTTATCTATAAAATAAATTAGACAAAAAGTACATGTTGATTGAAGTACTATAATTAATTCAGAAGTTTTGACAATTTCTAACAGGTTTAAGACTTTAAGTACCATAATGTTTTATTTTAAATTTTCTTAAAATAAACAGGTCTAGATGTAGCAATCTGAAACGTCAGGTCTTGTTCTACGATGGGAAACTCTTGAATGCCACTGTTTGTTAACCTGAACAAGTGAAGGTCTGCGGATTTCTATTAGTTAAGTTTGGAGTTGTGGATCTAAGAATAGTCTTGTCCATTGAGATTTCCATGCCATTGATCTTGATTTCTATTGTTTCAAGCAAAGTAGTACAATCTGACTCCTTTTTAATTTCCATTAGAGCACTCAAAAGACAGTTTAGTGCGGACTTGGATTCAGACCCAACTGCTAACTTTTTTGTTGTACTCATCAGGATCTTCTTTAGCAAGTTTCCTTATCATGTCAAGAGCTTTGTGGATCAGCTTCATTTCTCTTGATGCATTCAGGGGAAGTGTGTCTGGATCAACAACATCCTAGAAAGGCTTGACACATTATTGTTGTAGTAACTCTCATAGAGATCATGTGGACCTTCAGGGAAATAAAGAGCAAAGCTTTGAACTCAGCATCTCCCTGATTCGTGAAATGGCTCTAACTCATAGGTTTGTCATCACCGAAGTCCTGCAAAAGAACTATTGATTGTTAAGTTATACATATGTTTATTCAATAAGGAGCGTACACAAAGGTTTCTTTAGGGGAAAAAACGGTTTGAACCTACTAATTCATTGCTAAAGTATTTTACCTTAGCTAGTGAGTGGTAAAACTAAGTATTCTTCATCAGTAACCTCCTTTGGGCTGCAAAGCCATACAACCTTCACATTATTCAGAAACAGTCTCCTTTGATGTCTCTGTCTTGGGCTTTTTCTCTCTCTCTTCACCTTCTTCTGTCTCCTCCTCCTTTGTAGTTTCTAGGGTTGTCAACATTAACCTCCTTGGTTGACAACAAATAAATATGGAAGTTGATGATTTCAGAGTACTTATTCACCAATTCCTGCATAAAAGAGAATTCAAATTAAACACTTGTAACAAGAGATGCACAAAATAACAGATATATTTCTACAGAGATGTGTTTCATTATAATGTGTCCAGCCCAAGTAGTGGACAGGAAAAACAAGTACATGTTTCACTTGCTCTCACACAATAACACAAATATTATCCCATGATTAACAAATACACAGTGAAAATAGAATAGTATTGCCAGGGACAGTTGCTAAGCAATCTGCCAATTCTGTAAAAACGAAACAAATGACCACATGGATTCTGAAAAGATCTTATTAAAATTTCCAAGTTAGCACTGTTGGTGTCATGTCCAAGTCTAAAAAAATATATTAATTTCAGATAACATGGTTGGACTTCATGGTGAAGAACAGATAACTGCTACAACAATCTTGGTACCCATTGTATATTTGCAGCAGAAGCCAATTAACACAAATAAAAGACACATGAATATGGTGATACCTTTAGCTTATCCTCTTACAAGTATTACTTGGCCTCATCTCAGATTGTAATCTCATTTCAGTTCCAGAGCCACTCGTAGATAGCAAATGACTCATAAAATTTTGACTCCAACGCATGGAAAATCTAAAATAGTATAACACCACAATAACGTAAAGCAATTTAGCAAAACTGTAGGTTAATGTTCATGCAAAAAACAGTAGGATAACTGAAACTCGTTTCACCTCGCTCGCTGCTCGTTGGCTCACATCATGTCATGGACCTGTAGATTAGGAGGACTCGAGTAAGGCTGTGTTTAGTTGTAGGAATTTGGAATTTGGGGCTACTGTAGCACGTTCGTTTTTATTTGGCAAATAGTGTTCAAACATGGATTAATTAGGCTCAAAACGTTCGTCTCGTAATTTCCCACCAAACTGTGCAATTAATTTTTTTTCGTCTACATTTAATGCTCCATGCACGGGCCGCAAACATTCGATGTGACAAGTACTGTATCACTTTTTTGGAAGTTGGTGTTGAACTAAACACGCGCTAAGAAACTCCATGAACGAACGAACACCAACACCACAATCTCTTGAACTCACAAACCAAGAAGACCGGCGTGGTGTCCTCTGCTACCACAGCCACAGCATACAACCACGCTGCCGATGCCGTGAGGCGTGAGCATGGCGGCACGCCGGCACCCTCTGTGTTTTGTGGGACAGGAGCAGGCGCACGGACGTCGGACAAAGGGCGCTGCGCCCACTTGGGGCGGCTGGCCCGGCCGGGTTCACCGGCCAGGGGACAGATGGGATAGCCGTCCCTCTGCTACTGGGCAGCAGCCTGCAGGTTTTCACTGCCGAGGAACACAGATGCGAAACGCTTGCCACTGCCGTCCACTCGAACTCGGGCACTCCGACAAACCACGCACCAGCACGGCAAGCACACAGGTTTTTAGCACCCCTGCTCCAGCGTGGTGGACGATCAGGGATGACCAAACGGCACCAGATCCTCTGCGTGGTCGAAGTGATTCCCAGCAGGCAACAACGCATGCTCACGCTGAGCCGGCAAGCTTGAACTGTCTGCACGTCATGTCAAGCTACGATGCCACCGCGCACAGAGAATCCCAACGGATGGCGAAGCGGCAGGTAGGCCGCAGGCCACGGTGTTCCGGACAACCATTTCATCGAACACCATGCGGGTGTCCCTCGCGTGGCTGTTATCCCCGGTCTTCCTTCAGTGTCACGCCGCACCGCAGCTTTGAGCCTCTTCTTGGGCCGCAGCTAGGTAAAAGGAGCTGGCCTGCTGGGGGCAAACACAGGCTGTGTCCTTGCGGCCGCGGCGGTGCAGAACAGCAGAAGGCGTGAGGTGGAGCGAGCGGCGGAGCACGTGGAGGGCATCGGCCGACATGCGAGGTGGCCAAGCGCCGCGGCATGGTGTTGGTGGTGGAGAGCACGCTTCGGCGGGGGCGCTCGGCAGCGCGACTTGGGCGGGGGCTGGGACAGGGGCGAGGGCGGGAGTGGTGGCCGCGGCGGAGGCGCGGCGCGAGCCTGTGGGAAGAGTAGCGTCGAAACCTCCCGCCGAGGCGGCGTTCGGCAGCTCGGCCTGGGAGGGGGCTAGGACGGGGATGGCGCTCGGCGGGGACGGGAGCGGCGGCGGCGCGGCACGGGGCTGCGGGAGGAGCGTCGGGACTCGGGACTGCGAGGGAGCACAGGGGGAGGACGGGGTCGACGCTCGAGAAGGTTCTGGGATTTCGGGTTCGCAACGAAATTGGGCGGAGACCGATTCGACCAGTAATCGGACGGACCACATCGCTTCGTCGCTTGAAATGGGTTAGCGGGCGACGTGGCCATATCCACCGCCCGAATCCTGGCTCAGGATTCAGTGCGTGTTTGGATGCCGCCCTCGCCTGGGCTTGCCTGCCAGGCAAGCGATCGCAGCCCCAGGCGATCGAAATCGAACGCCTAGAGACGCTGCCGGGGAGGCAGCATCAAACATGCCCTCGATATTTAGAGATTACGTCATGGTTAAAACCTGCTCCCTCAGTTCTAAACTATGCCCCCCTGCTCTATCAGTTCTAAACTATAATTCATTTGACTTTTTTATCCTAAATTTGACTACTCGTCTTATTAAAAAAAATTATACAAACATAGTCAAATTTAAATTATTCTTAAAAAACTTTTGTTAATAAAGCAAGCTACAAATGAAGAAGTGATATTTAGCATAATTTTTAAATAAGATGAATGATCAAACTTGAGGCAAAAAAAATCAAACGAACTGTAATTTGGAACGAATTTAGGAGAACTTAGAAGTCATAAGACTTGGGGCCTGTTTGATTTCTACATGAACTCCCAAAATTTCTGTCACATCGAATGTTTGACACATGCATGAAGTATTAAATATAGACTAATTACGAAACTAATTGCACAACTTGCGACTAATCTGCGAGGCGAATCTTTTAAGCCTAATTAGTCCATGATTTGACAACGTGGTGCTACAGTAAACATATGCTAATGATGAATTAATTAGGCTTAAAAAATTCATCTCATAAATTAGCCTCCATCTATATAATTGGTTTTATAATTAATCTATATTTAATGCTCCTTATTAGTATCTAAACATTCGATGTGACATGAATTTTAGGATGGACTAAAGAACCAAACATCCCTTGCATTTGTAAAAGAATGCACCGCACCACTTGCATTATTGGCTCAGCTCGCATTATTTGGGCTGGTTACGTCTTGTGTCTGCAGCTGCAGCCGCTGCACGTAGCCAGCCCAAATGGCGCACCGAGGAGGTTGATTATGTATGTCGTTATAAGGGTATGTTTGGTTCCATTCTCACCAAAGCTATTTCAAGCGTTTGATTTCAGCCGTTTGAGACTAGTATAGAATGTTTGGCAGGTAGTTGTCTGGGAGGTCGCAATCCAAACAAACCATAAAATACTACAATATACGATCTGTGGGCTCTAACAAGATCGATGAATTCACCAATCCCATGGAAATCCAAAAGGATGAGGAACGTTTGGCCTATTCGTTGGTTGGTTTCTAGGCTGATAAGCTCGGCTGATACTGATTTTGTCGGTGTGAAAAGTGATCAACAAGTAAATATTTATAATTTTGTCGTATGTTATGATCGGATGTGGCCTAGTACTCAATGACACAGGGTTTATACTGGTTCGGGCAACGTGCCCTATGTCCAGTTCCAGTTGATCGGTGACTTTATTCCTGAGCCCGGGTGCTCGAAGTTTGTTGTGGGGTTACAAACGAGTGAGAATAAAAATGGGAGTGTTAAAGGTCTGGTCGGGCTCCTAACCAAAGGACCAAGAGTGATGGGAGCTCCAACGTGTGCTAAGTATTAAAACGTATGCTCTGTGTAGCTTTAGAGTCCTAAAGCTGTGGAGCTGTTCGAATGCTCAGAATGTCTAAGCTAAGCAGAGAGTCGAAAAATGACCGTCCTCCGTTGGGAGGGAGCGTGTCGGTGCGAAAAATGACAAAATAGTAAATATTTACTGTTTTTCCGTATGTTGTGATCGGATGTGACCTAGCACTCAATGACACAGGGTTTATAATGATTCAGGCAATATGCCCTACGTCCAGTTTGAATCGGTCGATGACTTTATTACTGAGCCCAGGTGCTCGAAGTTTGCTGTGGGATTATAAACGAGTGTGAGTAAGCTTGGGGTATCAGAGGTCCGGTCAGACTCTGGACCGAAGGACCGAGAGTGACGGGAGCTCCTCCGTGCGCTAAGTGTTCTAACGTGTGTTCTGTCTGGCTTTAGAGTTCTAGAACCAAGCAGAAAAAATCAGAATCAATTGTCTGAATCGTCCTCCTTTTGGAGAGAGCGCATCCCCTTTTATAGATGAAGCGGACGGCTTTACAAGAGAGAGAGTGTGAGAGAAAGAGAGTGTGTACTACCTAATCTTGTTGTCCACACCATTGAAAGGTCCTAATGGCTAGAGGGAGGATGAATAGCCTAATAAAATTTCTACAACAACACTTAACAAAAGGATTAGACAATTATGAGGCGAAGCGAGTTTTGCGCTAGCCTACCAAAATGGAAGCCACCTACCACAATTCTAGTTTAGATGGAGTATATCCACACAATAGCTATATCACTACACTAAGTTAGTGTGCTCTCAAAAACTAACTAAAGAGCCACACTAACCAAACTTAACAAGCTCTCACAACTAGTTACACTAAAGAGCTTAGCAACTGGTTTGCGGTAATGTAAAGAGCAGGCGAGAAGATTATACCGCCGTGTAGATGTATGATCCAATCAATCACAAGTGTGGATAACAATGAAGACCAATCACCTCGGAATCAATGATGAACACAATGATTTTTTTACCGAGGTTCACTTGCTTGCCGGCAAGCTACTCCTCATTGTGGCGATTCACTCACTTAGAGGTTCACGAGCTGATTGGCATCATACGCCAAACCCTCAATAGAGTGCCGCACAACCAACACAAGATGAGGATCACACAAGCCACGAGCAATCCACTAGAGTACCTTTTGGCGCTCCACCGGGGAAAGGTCAAGAACCCCTCACAATCACCACGATCGGAGCCGCAGACAATTACCACCCTCCGCTCGATGATCCTCGCTGCTCCAAGCCGTCTAGGTGGCGGCAACCACCAAGAGTAACAAGCGAATCCCGTAGCGAAACACAAACACCAATTGCCTCTAGATGCAAACACTCAAGCAATGCATTTGGATTCTCTCCCAATCTCACAAAGATGATGAATCAATGATGGAGATGAGTGGGAGGGCTTTGACTAAGCTCACAAGGTTGCTATGTTAATGCAAATGGACAAGAGAGTGAGCTTGAGTCGGCCATGGGGCTTAAATAGAAGCCCCCATAAAATAGAGCCGTTGTACCCCTTCACTGGGCACAACGCGAGGTGACCGGACGCTCGCCCTTAGCGTCCGGTCACGTGATTCACGCCACGTGTCCCCTGCTTCAAATACTGTTCATCAGATTTCAATGGTCGTCTGTTGACCGGACGCGCTAGTAAGAAAGTGATCGGACGCTGGACTTCAGTGTCCGGTCGTTTCCAGTAAGGTTCCAAACGCGATTTTTTCCGACCGGACATAGCCAGCGTCAGGTCACACAACTTCTCCTCTATACGCCCTACGTCACCACTGACCGGACGCACCCCGCCAGCGTCCGGTCGCTGAGCGACCCAGCGTCCGGTCATAAGACTGAAATGCACACCCTCTGCTGCCACTGACCGGACGCGCCAGTCCAACCGAGACCAGCGTCCGGTCACTTACAGAGACCTCCGTCTTTTCTGTCTAGGGCACCGATGGCAGCGTCGGACTGTCCGCACTCTACGGGCGGACACCCTTGCACCTAAACTTCACCACCCTTGATCAAATGTGCCAATCACCAAGTGTATCACCTTATGCACATGTGTTAGCGTATTTTCACAAACATTTTCAAGGATGTTAGCACTCCACTAGATCCTAAATGAATATGCAATGAGTTAGAGCATCTAGTGACACTTTGATAACCACATTCCGATACGAGTTTCACCTCTCTTAATAGTACGACTATCAAACCTAAATGTGATCACTCTCTCTAAGTGTCTTGATCACCAAAATAAAATGACTCCTACAATTTATACCTTTGTCTTGAGCCTTTTGTTTTTCTCTTTCTTCTTTCCAAGTCCGAGCACTTGATCATTACCATGGCATCACCATCATCATGTTATGATCTTCATTTGCTTCACCACTTGAAGTGTGATACCTATATCATGATCACTTGATAAAATAGGTTAGCACTTAGGGTTTCATCAATTCACCAAACCAAACTAGAGCTTTCAGCCGTCGGGTACAAGGTGGTTTGTCGGCGCCCACAATACCGTTGACGCCTAGATGCATGTGGTAGGCTCCATCGTATTCTTCTGGTATGGCCAATGTCGACGCCTACCATACTGTAGAACAAATGTCGGTGCCCACAATACTGTTCGTATCCTGCCATGTCAGAAGGTTGCAAAGTACTTTTCTGACATGGCCTGACAGTACTGTCCTATAGATGTGCAGGGTACGGTCCTCGACATTGCGGTTTGACTTGAGAGCCCTGCCTTTCTTGCTTCGCCTGATTATTTGGGTCCTTACCGAGCGGGCGTCCCCGTTCGGTCGTTTCCCAGTCGTCTCCGACCGCGTCGATCGGAGAAGAGCTGTAAGCAGAGGTTCGGTGTACTCCCGGCCGAAGAGGTGGGTCGGAGTCAAAGCGAGCGTCGTCCCTCCTTAGCCAGGCCTTTCGGTCGGAGAGGCAGGCCGGAGTCAGAAGCGAGCGTCATCCCTCTTTGGCCAGGCCTTCTGGTTAGAGAGGCGGGTCAGAGTCTGAAGCGAGTGTCGTCCCTCCTTGGCTAGGCCTTCCGGTTAGAGAGGCAGGTCGGAGTCGGAAGTTAGCGTCGTCCCTACTTGGCCAGGCCTTCCGGTCGGAGACTGGATCGCCTTTTCGACCTGTCGTTATGTATCCGGGCCGGCCTAGGAGTTGCGTGTCGTTCGCAACGTCATCTGCTGGGCCGAGCTTTTGCTAGGAAGTTGGACCATTAGGGACCCTGGGTTTATGTACCCGACAGGAGCCCCGAGCCCGAGCCCCCGGGCGATTCGGGTAAAATCGTCTGGGGGATTTTTCGTTTTGACAGCGGGTGCGCGCGAGCGCACCCACGTGTGTAGCCCCCGGGCGATTCGGATAGAATCATCTGGGGTGTTTTTCATTTTACCAGTGGGCGAATTTTTTGTTTTAACAGCGGGTGCACGCGAGCGCACCCGCGGGTGTAGCCCCCGAGCCCCTAGGCGATTCGGGTAAAATCGGCTAGGGGT